AATGGTCAGTTTCCCCTACCATTATCATTAGATGCAACTAAGAAAAGGTGCTTCTAGCACTCTGCTATATTTTTGGTGGACTCAACCTGGACTGATTGACAACTGGGAAATAGAGGGAGAAAACGTGGAGGCAGTGATAGACTTTGTATTTCTAGGTGCAAAGATTACTGCAGACGCAGACTGCAGCCAGGAAATCAGAAGACGCTTCCTTCTTGGGAGGAGAGCAATGTCCAATCTCAATAAAATAGTGAAGAGTAGAGACATCACACTGGCAACAAAGATCTGCCTAGTCAAAGCCATGGTATTCCCTGTAGTAACCTACGGATGTGAGAGCTGGACCTTAGGGAAGGCTGAGCGAAGGAAGATAGATGCTTTTGAACTGTGGTGCTGGAGGAAAGTTCTGAGAGTGCCTTAGACCACGAGAAGATCCAACCAGTCCATACCTCAGGAAATAAAGCCCGACTGCTCATTGGAGGGAAGGATATTAGAGACAAAGATGAAGTACTTTGGTCACATCATGAGAAGAAAGCTTAGAGAAAACAATTATGCTGGGGAAAATGGAAGGAAGAGGGCTGACCAAGGGCAAGATGGATGGATGGTATCCTTGAAGTGACTGGCTTGACTCTGAAGGAGCTGGGGGTGGTGACAGTCGACAGGGAGCTCTGGTGTGGGCTGGTCCATGAGGTCACGAAGAGTCGGAGCGACTGAATGTATCAACAACAACAACCCCAAGTGAGGGTTATTTTGAACCTAACAGCTCTGATTGCCAACAAAGACAAATAGAAGCAGAGATTAAAAATTAATTAAGAATTAAAAATAAGATGACAAAAGCATCCCAAACATTTCTAACTTGAGGAAGCAAAAACACACGGCTTCCTATATTTCCCTTTACATCCACAGACCTGACTTCACTTGAGTATCTGTGTGTGCCTTTAAGATACTTGTTGACGTATGGCAACCCAATGATTTTCATAATTTACTTAAAGGAATAATCAGAGGTAATTTTTTAAGGGCAACAATTCAGAAAAGCATTCATGAAATGTTTGTCCTTGTTTCATTTTACAAGGAGGAAGCCAGTAGGCACCACAAATACATAGTAGCCAGCTAGATGAAAATGTGTGGAGGGATTTATAGGACATGAAGTGTACTAATGAACTGAAGATATTCTTTTCTTGTAACCAACAATTCTCTTTAACCAAACAAAAACATATGAATCCTACTGGATCAGACCAAAGGCGTATCTAATCTAGCATACCGTTCCCACAGCAGCTCCTCAGATGCTTACAAGAAACACAGAGGCACACATAAGCACTACGTCACCCATTCTTTCGAACCAAGGAACAGTGCCGCCTTAATCATACTGCATTGGAAGGAAACTCTTTTGTTTGTTAACACAATTACTTTCAGACCATAGACACAAGCCAGAGATCATAAATTCCCTCTTCAACCTCAACTGCAGTTAAGCATTATGTCATCTGTAATTCAAGACTAACCAAGTTCCAGAAAAATTTATGTTCACAAAATAACAAGGAACAATTGTGTTTATTCGAAAGGGGGGGGGGCAGCGGGCGAAGATACATTATATATATTGTTTATCATATTATACAGCTGCATAAATCATATGATAACATCAGACTACCTCAATACACTAACGGTGTCAGATTCCAACTCATCTGGAAGCTAAGCGGTGTCCGCCTGGTTCGATGGGGGACTGCCAATGAATACCAGATAGTGTGGCTATATTTCAAAAGAAGGAACTGGCAAATCCACTTCTGTGTATTCCCTGCCTATTCAATTCACAGGGGTGCCATAAGACAATGTGAAGGTGTGTATACACTAGAGTTGGGCCTGAATCACTGTTAACAAAACGTTTCGTAGTTTTCGGAGAGCCATTTTCATGTAATTTCCAAAAACGGAAAGGGGAAGAGATAGATGAAAAGACCAGTGAAACGAATTCAGAGAGATGATATTTTCAGAAAGAGTAAAGTCCACAAAATACCTGAGGCAGGGAAATTTGTGATGTCCTCAGCAGAAGAAGCCTTCTCTATTTTTTCTTGGAAAGTTACCTACTCCTCCAGAGAGGGCCCTTAGAACTCGCTTTCCCAGTGGCACTAGCACAGAGTGACCACTGAAAGTTCCTCTCGGAGCATGATGGGAGTTGAAGTTTTTCCCTCTCTGTATATCTCAGCCAATAAAGCCTGGTGGTGTCCATGCTCTGATTGGCTGAGAATGGACACAACCGAGACTACAACTACCTTGCGGTTTGTCTGACTTTAAAAAATGTTATTTTTAAAACTTAAAAATCAGTAGTTTGTTGAATTGTTTTGAAACTTGCCAGGCCTGTAGTTGTAAACGGGGTCTACAACTGAGGTACGTTTCTTGCAGATAGGCCTTAAAATGGCTGAGGATTGAGCTTTTAAAGTTTCTCATTGTAGCCAATGGGCCAAATCTCTGCCAAATGAAACTGAAAACACCCCTCCCCTTTCGGGTAACTTTCTGGTAAACAAAATGAGGGGTCAGACAAAAACGGACCCAAAAAGGGTGTGCCTTTTGGCCCAAATGCACATGTCTAGTATACACACACTGTCAGACTAGTACATAATTTTATCAAATGTGTCTTTGTAAACCCCATTTCAAACACTGCAGAATATACTGGAGAGGCCCACCAATTATTAAATCTACCTCTCTTGTGACCGTTGCAGTGTCACAACTTACAAGTAGATAATACTATGGTATTATACCATCAGAGATTCAAATTGCAAGTGTACTTCAGAATTATCTCTTTGTACACATTAAAGAAGGTAGGTACTGGGAACCCATTTCTAACCTGACAATATAGTACGATAATTTCATTCAATAGGCAAAATGTGATAAAATGTGTTGTTCAGTAGCTTCTACCAGTCTTCCTGGCTTCTGGGATCTACATCCATGTACAAATAAGGAAATCTACACCCTCTTCTATGTCATTGCACTTTACCTCTCCCAATATGGTTGAACATCAAGTTCCATCATTCCTTACCTTTGGCCTGCAATCCAACATCAGGTGGAACAAGTGATTTTCATCTCTCAATCATAGACAATGATGGGGGTAGGGATTGATAAATAGGAACCTGACACATGCTAGGAGAAAATTTATATTCAAGGTTCATTATTCTGCAGTTACTGTATTTCAGTTGATTCCGATTACACAAGTAATTTCTTCCATGGCCTTATCTCAGTTAATGAAATTATTTTATCAGAAGCAAAACCAATGTTTTTTCCAGTTCTGGCAGCAGGTCGAAAAAACAGGATGCATTTCAGGCATCTATAGGAAATAATGAGGTAGGTGAACATGACTCAGAGCATGTTTGATTTTTTGTCTCTTTATGAATGCCCCACTAGAAAAGACTTTTAAGATACTTTGGAAACTACCAACAAAAGTCTTGGCTAGCCAGATTGTAGCTCTTACTCACTATGTGAGCTCTAATATACCATTTTAAGAGTCTTCTGAGCAGGTAGCTAGTCTAGGACCATTCAGACAGGCCCTCTATCCCAGGATTTGATCCAAGGTTTTCTGTTTATCCCAGATTATCTGGTAGTGCAGACTGATATAATCCAGTTTCAAGTAGAAAATCTGGGATCAGATCCTGGGATATAGGGCCTGTGTGGAAGGGCCCCTAGTATAGTATAGTATAATATAGTATTTCACCACCTTTATATGTTCCCTGAAATAATTATGGAGTTTGCCATACAACTCTACCTCCCTCCCCACTCCACCCCCCCCRTTTTTTTTGTAAAATCAAGACAATGATCATAATAAATACTCTCTCTTCCATGCAAGGACAATGAGCTAATGTTTGTTTAGTACTTTGAAGCTGCAAATGTACCAACTGAAGTTGCAATTACCACAACACTTTTTCCAGTGCTTTGTCCAATCCAGCTTCAAATGACTCAGTTAATGAGATGCTTACCATTTCCCCTGAGAGACAATTGCGCAGTGCAYTTGAAGAAGTTGTCAAGATTTTTAGACTATTCATCCAAAATTTGTCAACTGCTTGAARTTGCTGTTTTTGTTTTTGAACTGAAGTCCTTCCTGAACCATCTGGCCCATTTGACAGATCTAACTGCAGCACACCAGTGTCATATTCCTTATATGATTGGGGGGGACCAATATAGCCAGCTCAGTGGATCAGGTAGCAGGCGGTTTCTCCATGGGAGGGATACCTATGTCTTGCTCAATCATTTACAAATTGCTTAAAAACACATCATATCTAGTTAATACCTAATGCATTTAGTAGCTAATTTTAGAATGAGACATTTCCAAGGTACTGTATATATTAACATCAGTGCAGGTCACCTGCCATGGGTTCAGGAGCTACATTAGTCTCTATGGGACTTTGAAAAGATAGAACCCCACTTGGCTTGATTTTTAATTGTTTTAGTTCAGTAAAAACCTCCATACACAGGGACCACGGGGCAATTGCATCATGTTTCCATGCAATTTTTCAAATATCTACAAAATCAGAAACCAACTTAAAAATTGAATAAAGATTCTTTTGACCTTAAAGCAACCCAAAATTCTAAAAACATGGCAAAATTCAGTATTTGTATGCTCTTTTGGGGGGGGGGCACATGAGAATGGTGGCCCTGAGACTACATTCCTAACATTATATTTGCAAATGATTACAGATTTTTGGACTTTCTAACTCTGTCTGCCATTTTATTCCTTCCTTCCTTCCTTTTTGCTTACAGTAGGAATAGGTTATAATTTGGGCAAGCTTTTGATGTCAATATTAGAAAACGTTGGACTAGGGGGACAAGATATGGTCAAGATTTATGTGTTTGTTTAACATGCCATCATTCTCCTATCATTGGACCCAAGGTAGCTTACATAAATACTAAAATAAGATAATCCAAAAACCTGGTAACACAAAGAATCATATTTAACATACAGTACACCCCCCCCCACTAAAAATATTCCTGCAATCAATTAACCATGGAATGTCTGTTGAAGAAAAACAGGTCTTTGTTGTCATTTATTTTCAGGAAATGAAGCAAAAGTTAGGCTCTTTAAAATTCATTGTTTACAATAACAGACGATAATGCTTTCAATAGGTCGAAAGCTGGGATGTTACATATTAAAAATAGCTGTTCATAACTGATATATTTCCAGGACGTCAGGTGAAAAATTAAGCTGCTTCAACCCCACATCCAATTTGGCTTCTTCAGGAACTGTCATGGATTTCCCCTTCTTCTTCTTCAGATGAGCTTTCCTTAACCAAGTCTTTACTGGATTTATTGGCTTCTGCAGTGGGGAAAAAGAAGAAAAAAATATACAACATTTTCAGTTTTGTCACACCAACCTACATCTGATTTTGTATCTTCCATAACTAGCAAAAACTAAAAACTAACTAGCAAAATACAGTAATTTGAAATACAGTAATTTGGGCCCTCATGATTTTATTTAAAAAATCTTCAGAAGTGGTAGCTACTAGCTAATTATCTTTGTTTTTTTCACCAGGATAACTGCAAACTGGTTTTGAAAGGATTATGTCTCAAAAATTGGGACTTCTTCATGATTCTCCTTATATTTGACACTCTTCACAAAATGACACAGTTACGCCTTGCTTTATTGGGAGACCACAAATCTGGTGTTAAACTAAAGAAAGCTCAAGATGTGCTCAGAACCTCTGAGGAGGCCTGTCATAGATGCAGGAGGAATGTCAGAAGAGAATGCTTCTGGAACATGGCCATATAGTCCCAAAATCTTACAACAACCCAGTGCTTCATTTTTTTATTTATTTTGTGTCAAAAGCATTGCATAAATAAGCATAAAACTGATAAAACAGAGGAAGCCAAGTGGCTAAATAATTTTTGACCAAAAAATGGGCAACAGCAACCACATTGTATGTAGCTTTAGACAATTCCTCCTCTGTGCATGAGGCTGGGCATTGTGGGCAAGCAATACAGATGCAGAGTTGTTTGTTCTGCTCCACAGTCGCACAAGGTGGAGGATTCTTCTAAGTAGTGCCATTTGGCCAGGTTGTCTTTGGATCTGCCCACTCCACTTCTGAGCCTGTTCAGGGACTTCCAAGTTGCCCATGCTTGGTAGGAGGGCTGTTTAGAGGGAACATTATTCACTCTATGTTTAGGTCCCACCCCATCTCCTTTTTTGGCTAAGTCTGTAAAGGAAGACTTACTAGAACACCCCAAGAGATAAAATCCATTACTGTTTATTTTATTCTGTATCACTCTTTATAAAGTCAAGCCCTGCATAATGTTGCCTGCTTGAAATGACATTGTCTCAAGTTCATGAGAGGTCCCCAATCTCTGCATATAAGATCTGGAAACTGCCTTCCTGGCCATGAGAGGGTCTTCCCCATGCTTATTGTTCCTCTCTTCCACATGAATGATGGTTGCATTTACTGTCATCCATAAACTGAATAACTCCCATCACTTCTGTAGCAAAAGAAAAGTGTAATTTGTGCACATTGGTAGGACACAGGAAAAAATGGCTCAGTAAACATTTTCCTGATGGTAGAGGAAGGACGTGTGGCAACTGACCTCCTTCCTTGCTCACTTGGGAAGGACATTGTGAAGGAAAAACAATGGATCTCCAGGTAGTATGTCCCTACAGTTCTGCTGCATAAAAGGCCCATACAGAAAGAGAGAAGCGTTATCACACTGTGAACCCAGGGAATAAGAGACACACACTGAGCTGTACACCCATTTCCATGAGAAGATAACAGAACTGAAGTGAAGAACTCTATAAAGTGTCTGTTTAGCTAAGAAGTATTAGTTTACATTGTTATTTTGAGATGGGTGGGATTGATTTTCCATCGTGCTGTAATGATGATGATTTACTTATTTTGCACTTTTTAAAGTTTCCACAGGAGATTTAGTATGGATGGTTTTTAAGAAACCTAGCATGTGTATATGGCAAAAAGACAGATACACTTCTATCTTTAGTTCTAAATATTTGTAGAATAGAATAATGCAAATGGTTCTAGTCTTATTTAGAAAAACGAATAAGGTTGTATTGTTAGGAAGCACTACATCTGTTATTTTGTCAGACTCCTCATTTGTCCAGTGGATTATTTGGGAATTCTTTGAGATTGGAATTTATTGAGACATGACGCATACATGTTACTGTTTTGTGTATTTCAACATCTCCACATTATGTTTGCATGTCTTAGAGCCAAACAAGATGTTATGGATTCAAGCTGTTCCATGATTTAGGGAAGCTTTGTTGCTGATGTCATTCCATACATCATTAATTTCCCAAAGAGCTTGTTACCTTTCTCTTTGCTCTTGAACCTAACTCTTTTATTTATTACTAGCTTGGGTACCTGGCAGTGCCAGGGCTATTTGAAATAGGCAGTTTGTTTTGGGGTGAAAGGTAATATCATGTAGTTAATTAGTAACACTATTTATTAGAAAAAATAAAGCACAGTGCTCTGCCTTGATGCAGGGTGAACTGCAACTTCCATCCTGTTGAGTCAGTCCCCCAAAGCCCTCCAGTCTTTTCAGTTGCTGATCAATTCCTCTGTGTTTGCTGTGTGCCATAGGAAAGGGTAGGAAAGGGTTAAGGGAGAGGCAGTGGGCAGGGTCATGCAAATTCCACACAAGGAACCCTGGGATGCCTGCCTCTTGTGGAGGAAACATGACAAATCTAGGATGAAATTCAGTCTGAATGAAAGCATTCCTTGGGTGGCAGGCCATAGTGTTTGGGGAGGACATTGGCAGAGTTTGGGCTACATGTTCATGGCGCTCACTATAACATGCAATGTCAGTTGAGGAAATGCCTTTGGAGGCTTCTCAGCACTTGAAACTATAGCCTGTTTGTGGAGGTCAGAGGCTGTCTGTGTAAGTGGACACCTCCACCATATACAAACATACATATTTTTCACTTTTATTATGTGTATAAATTATTATTATATTTATTTATACCCCGCTTTATTTTCCCCAAAGGGAACTCAAAGCAGCTTAACATAAAAGCATTAGCATAACCATTTAAAATATACAAATATATGAACATTAAAACAGGGTTAAATATATAAACAGTATTTTAAAAATTCCCAGTTAAAAACTATAAAAACAAAGTCGGAGTTAAACACCACTGCACCCCCTGAACTGATCTCAAACACCTTCATCTTTAAAAGGCTGCCTGAATAAAAAGGCTTTAGCCTTCCACCAGAAGGACAGCAGGGAGGTGGCCATTCTGGCTTCCCTGGGAAGAAGGGAGTTCCAGAGTCGTGGAGCAGCCACTGACTGGGTCCTCCTTAAATAAATCTTCTCATATGTTGCAAAGAGACATTTTCTTTTGGGTGTTTTCTTAGCTGACACTACTTAAAATACATGTGCCCATCCAATATGATGTCAAACACTCTCCCTTAGAGAAATATTACCAGCAGGGAGTTAATGGGGAATCATTATAAAGTTGCTAAGAAATGGGATGGTAGAAAGGGTGAACAGAAAATAGTTGGATCTAACTTGCACCTGGTTTTCCTCAATGGAATCTCCACAAGAAAATAAAAGCATCTCACCCAGAAACATCTGAGGTCACATTTTGTCTACATTAAATCTAGTGTATAATCAATTAACATCTATATGCCAGATAGGTTCTGAGTACTGAGACAGAAAGATTTTTTTTTGTCACTAAGTCCTAGAACAACTTTTCTAAGCCCTCCAGATCTCTGGCTGTGATTGTGTCTATAGACAGAAATATAGGCACCTGCATTCTCTGTGAACAAATGTATTGTAAGAACTTCATACAGCAGGATGAATACATTTACCATATATATTCGAGAATAAGCTGCCCCAAATACAAGCCAAGGCAACGAATTTTATCACAAAAAACTGGGGAAACTTATTGACTTGAGTATAAGTCTAGGGTGGGAAATCCAGCAGCTACTGTAAGGTTGTAAGCCACCCTGAGTCCCCTTCCAGGGGTGAGAAGGACAGGATACAAATGTCTGAAAAAACTAAATAAATAATACTGGTAAATTTCAAAATAAAAATAATACATACCAATACTTTACATTAAATGGGCCATACAGCTTCTCTTCTCCTCTCTGCATAGCAACCAAGTCGAGAAGAGAGGTTGCATGCCTTCCTCTCCTTCTCTCTCAGCACAGAGATCCAGCTGGGTTGCTGTGCTGAAAGGGGGGAGGCGCCAGGACCCTCACTCGAGTATAAGTCGAGGGGGCCTTTTTCAGCATAAAAATGTGCTGAAAAACTAGGCTTATACTCAAGTATATACAGGAAAACAAAATGACATTGAATGAATTTCAGGGTCATTTCCCCACCGTTTTCTGTTTACTCTTTCTACCATCTAAGCAGCTTTGTAATGTTTTGGTTACAGCATGCTGGCAGCTTTTAAAATGACATACTTAATTTCATGGACTGTATATAAGAATTAGATTCAATGAATTCCCTCCCTTTCCTTATAAAACTATCTGTGCAGTTGCACCCAAACAGCTCTGAATGACTTTAGCACTAATGGGTCTTAACTTTCTATCAGCTTGGGGGATGCTGGTTTGTTTGTCTTCCTGTTTGAGCAAGGAACCCCATAGAATCAATGTCCACGCTATGACTTTCAAGAAATGATAACATTTTATTAACTAGTCTTGGGCCTGTCTCCACCCAAGCACTAGCTTGATTTCCCCACAACCAAGTCCATACTTAAAACTCTAAAGTAACTGGTTGTTCTTGAAGTCGCTGCTCGTGGATGATTCTGGAGACAAAGGACAGATGAAAGTTTCCCTTGCTCACTTTCTATGGTAAAGGGGCCTCTGGGGCGCCCAATGCCCAAGGTGATCAGGCCAGAGGCTGAGAGCGCAGGTCTCCCCTATTGAGGCCTGGCACCTTGCAGAAGGTGATGGAAACTCCACAGCGTGTCACTGACCAGTATAACTGGAGTTCCCAGGTTAGTTCCCAGATTAGTCAGCTATTGGCTCAAAATGGCTTGTCCAAGACTGGATCTCACTGGGACCAACTACAGACCCATCTTGCTTCCGAGATTCCCTGGTGGTAATAGCCTTAAAGATGGCTCCCTATCCTCTGGCAAAGGGGTGGGTCAACTTACTACTCCAAACCAGAAATTGTTTCCTTAAGCTCCACCCTCATAAAGGAGCCTCCGGTGGCACAATGGGTTAAACCTTTGTGCTGACAAGACTAAAGAGCGACTGGTGGGGGTTGGAATCTGGGAAGAGTGCGGATGAGCTCCCTCTGTCAGCTCTATCTCCCCGTGTGGGAACATTGAAAGAAGCCTCCCACAAGGATGGTAAAACATAAAAAAAAACA